TAGTCAGATGCAAAACCAATAGGCACCCCTTGTTCTTTAGGATTGTTTGAGCCTTTCATTGTGCATAAGGTCTGTGATTGGTCTTTTCATCATAATAGGAATACTTATGAAATTTCTGAAAGATTAGTTCCAAGACAAAATTTTAAATTCTTGGAAGCTGAAACCGCAATCCTCCCGCTCCATTCAGTGATGGCTTTTCTCTTTTCAAAAAGATATCTTCATTGACCCCTCTCTAAAACCATCTGTCATCTCTGTCCATAATCTGAACACTTTGGTCTTCAAAGGTGTGTACTTTGTTGTTGAGGTTCAAGTCTACAGCTGAATCTTTCCCAGAGCTACCGGCTCTCTGATGCTGTGCCATGTGTTTGTTTAGTTATTGTTTGGTTTCTGCAATATAGGAGGCTGTACAGTCCTCCCTGCACTTGATTGCATAGACAACAGTGCTCAGCTTAGGGTGTTCTGGCTTTAGGATGAACCAGGATGAATCTAGTTTTGAGTTCTTAAAAAAAAGTTACTAAAAATTCTGCTCATTTAACTTGAAGTGTTTATTTTGCACCTGAAATCTGAACATTTTTGCCTAAGAAATGTGTCTATCCAAGCATACTTTAGACATTGATATCTACTTGATCATTGATGAGTGATGAGGACGTTCTGATCTCTTCTATGCTGAACAATAAAACTGCTGTCATTTCTCCTTCTGCAGTGGCCGCCTTTCAATGCATTTCTAGTTTCACAAGAGGTGAGCCAGACAGTCCTTGGAGGGTCTGCGAGTTGGCTGTTGAACAGTTGTCTGGATTCTAAAGTTCCAAAAAGGGAAAATCAATGAGACCTGGTGTTTGGTGTGCAATAATGGAGAGATGCTTTGCTTTGAATGCAGATGAAGGGGCACTCACACATATACACATCTTTTTGGGGGTCTGAACTTATCTGGCGTGGCAGAGAGAACAAAAGGAATGCCTCCAGGCTGACCCTTAACCTTTGGAATAGACTTTCCCCCGCTCGCGAGAGGGTGTTGACTTAGAAAATAAGGCACCGTGACGAGCCCTTCCCTCCCCTGCCTTGAGCTGTTTCCCCCATGTCTTCCTCGTTCCCGTTTTCATCCAGCGCGTCTGTCTGATGACAGGGCCATTACACGTCTGGGGCGAGAGAGGCCCAAACACCCGCAGAGTTCTCTGGGATAGATGCAAGGTGCTTCTCACGAGCTTACTGCGTATTTACTTACGTTGAAACCGTGCAGAACCAAAGGTTGAAAATCGTGTGTGCAAAAGAGACGGAGTGTAATGTGTGTGAATCGGCTGACTTCTAAAGATAGCACCAACCCGGTGGGTGTCTGTGCGTGTGGAGTCAGACGGAGGTAATGATTAACCTTTCCAGACTGTGTTTGTGTCCCTGAGAGAAGTGCAGTGAGTCTAGCACCTCCCCACCCTCCTTCCACAGCCGTCCTGCCTCGCTCCCCCTTCTGCTGAGCCCATTTGGCCCATCTAGCATGGTGTCTGCTTTATCAAAGCTGTTGACCATTGAAATAGGGGGGTATATCCCAGTTAAGTCTTTGGCGCTCATGCTAAAAATTCATATGCTTGGTGTATTTTTTTTTAGGTGGTAACACCACATGTGATCAAGACGGTTGCAAAGTTTATATTCCTTTAACTAGGTGCAGCATGATGTTCCCATGTTATGGTAATATTGACTAATGATACAGCAATCTAACAATATTTACACTAAAAATGATTGAAATTATTTTATTTAAAGAATGAATTATTCCCTTGTTGGCTAAGGTGAAAAATCTTGTAGTTATATACTGCTTGGCGTTCTAGCCTGCAGTTTGGTGCTTTACAGACGAGCCGCCCTTAGCTGGCTAACTCTGATTCATTGTGGCTAGAATATATTCCTAAATAATTGAGGACCCGGAGGCGAGATTAGTGGAGTTCCTCAGTCCTGTTTGCTCAGAAAAGCTGAAGAAAGCTCACTTTAGCATTTTCAACTAGACACTAACAACGATAAAACACAGAAGCAATGCGATTGAAGATTTCAGCGGTTTTTAACCATATCTTTTTTTAAGCCTTAGTCGTCTGGTGTCTGTCATGCGGTTTTTTACGTTGCAAAAACCACCTTTAACCAGGACAGCTGAATGAATCATTGCCTGAGAGCTCTTGCTTTGTTGTGAACGAGCAGGAAAAGTCTTTGTTAGATAGGGGGGGGTTGCCATGTTGGGTTTCCTGCATGTGGACCCCATGGGACAGACCAGAATGGGACACAGCAGCAGCAGACAACTGACAGGAGGAGGACAGAAAGGGTTAGGGTGACAGATGGCCGCAGGCTGCCGGCTAGCCAGCTTATCTCCGGCGAGGAGGAGAAGCTTGAGACACAAGAGGAGCTTTAAGGCCAGAGTGCAGCAGGTGCAGGTGGGAAGGCAGACAGTAACTCAGACTAATGCTTCCATAGGCAGACATCCAGAGCCCGGACATGCAGACAGATGTACAAGCAGAGACCACAGTGAATATTCAAGACCTGGGGCTAACGAGCACACACACAGCACTGCTAGTATGACTTCACCAGAAACACACCTAAGAAAGATACACATGTAATAGTGTCAAGCCGTAACAAAAGAAGCTTGGCAGCCTTTGCAAACAATGATTATTAAATTAACTCGTTAGGTACTGGAATACTAAGGTGAGCTAACTGGGTGCTGCTAAAATTAGCAAGTGTTTTCATACATGCATGTTTGTCCAGCAGTATAACTCATGAGGTGTAAGTTCATCTGCTGTCAGAACAAGCTGTGAACATTACTATTTGAGAGGCAGCACCCTGCTGATGGAGGAGTCTGGCTGTCTCGCCATCTCGCCGGCTGATTCACCAAACCGGGTTTGGGTTTGTTTTCCTGTAGGAAACATGTCGTTATCAACAGAGTTCTGCTGAAGTCTCTCTTAATTTTGGAGGCACAGAGATTGCAATGCAAACCTTTTTGTCTAGTCAAAGTATATTTTATCTCAGTATGTCTGCTGCTTTTCTCAATGAGGCTTCTTCACATTTAAACAGAACCTGACACAGGAGATTCTGTCTAAATGACAACAGCAATGTGTGAATTATGAGTCTTTAACATCTGTTATGACTCATAAATAAGTAAAAGACTTAAATATTTCCTTAATGGGTGACTGTCTGCCTCTTGCATCTTTCCTGCGTTCCTTTTTTCCCTCTTTCTTCTGCGGTTTTCTCACACCACGAGTTTAAAGTTTCTCAGAGGCGAGTCCATGAAGCGGAGGAAGCGTCGGGGCCGTTAATGTAGTCCTGAATAGCAGAGTGTTTTCGAGCTGCAATGACAGGCCCAGACAGGCAGCCGCTTTAATGACCTGTGACGCCAAGCTCTGTCTCTCTCTGCAATAATGCGCTCACACAAACACGCATATACACACAGCAGGGCACCACAGGTGAGCTCCACCAGCAGCCTCATGCGTCCTTGTCCTTATCAACCTTGGCTCTTCCTGTAATGTGTAAAACATGCCAGGTTTGGAGACTGTCTGACATCTTTCTGAGACATAAAAACGCCTTCTTGTCTTTTATCAGTGAGAGAGGTTCTCCTTTTTTCCTGCATTCAGTCAAACGTAGATAGCTGGGTGCTTGGTTTCCTTTAGCGCCCCACTGGGATGGATTTACGATAAATTCCCTGAGGCCAGACTCAGTTCAACTTCAAAGAACACAGCCCTGCTTGTTTTATGGAAGGCATGCTTTCAGTTTTGCTGGCCCCCTTTCCTTCTGCTAGACTTTTTTTTTTCTGTCTCCCTAGTCCCAGTGTTTTTTTGTTCCCTTCCTCATTTTTTCCCCCCCTCTTAATGAAGGCTAATGACAGGCCAGGATAAGTCCGCCTGGGCTCGGCAGAGATCCTGCCGCATTAACGTTACAGCCAGTCCCAGACGGGACCTTCCAAATTACCGGTTACATTCACAGCTACTGCTAGATGAAAGAGAGCAGGTCGAAGGGCTCCGCTCCTCACCTGCATTCCAAGCTTTCCTGATCTTCAGCAATCAGTCTACAGGATGACAATGAATGTACTTTAGAAAGGTTCCAGCACCGAGGTGATAGTGCAAAAACATATGAGATGTGCTTAAAAGTCGAAAGAGGAAGCAAAGTTGTAAAAGAAACAGTCAAAATATGTAAAAAGCATTCCTTCTCCTCCCCACCGCGCCCCCTCTGTCTCAATCTATTTCCCTTGCGCCTGAGTGGCTCCCTTTCTAGCTGGGAGTTGCTGGAAGCCAGATTTCTGCAGAATAGAGATATGGAGGGAGAGAGCGACGGCGCAGGAGGCACTGTAAAGGGTGGGGGATAGAGTTTGTAAACTGGAGCACAGCCATTTGTACACTTCTTTTCTATGCTCAGGGGAAACTTCAGACCCATGAGGGTTCTCTTGTCAACAATTTAGGCACCAGGGTCTGCTTCTGTCGCCTGTCCAGCATGGTTTTTCTGTTTGTGTCTAAGCCCTGCATCAGTTACCACATCTCTGTTGGTCAAACTCTTCATTTCCTTCAGAGGGGCGAAGCATGTTGCTGTAGAGACAATCAGTACTAGAGGGTGACGTCAGTACATTGTTGGCCGAGCCACTACAAAAATACAGCGAGCCAGACAGAAGATAAGCATTTAATGCCCAGATAAATATTGCACCGCATGTGGAAACTTGCTTGGCAGTGTGTCTCCGGGTTGATTTTTCTTGTCTGTTGTCCAGGAATTCCAATATGGTTTTCCTGCATTGTAGAAATTGCGGATGACAGCTCAGTTTTGGCTCTTGACTAAAGAAGATGCTCTATTTCCCAAAACGGGGATAAAGATGAAGTTGTTCAGCTGTAGCAATGTTTAAGCAGCTTTGTTGCTGTGATTTAGATGACATCTGATCACATCTGTCATGAAGTCATCTTTTCTCTTCCTCTGCTCTCTTTTTCTTGATCTTCTATTGTATGATTTCTTTTATTTTGCTCAAGTCTAAGCCTCTTTATCTCTCTTTTCTTTTGCAGATTCCCTGGCGTTGCAGGAGTCAGGAGAGCCGACCCACTGGTGCGTGGTGGCGTACTGGGAGGAGAAGACGCGCGTCGGACGCCTCTACTCGGTCCAGGAGCCCTCTCTAGACATCTTCTACGATCTACCTCAAGGGAATGGCTTCTGTCTGGGCCAGCTTTGCTCGGACAACAAGTCCCAACTGGTTCAGATGGTGCGGGCCAAGATCGGCTATGGTATCCAGCTGACGCGCGAGCCAGACGGGGTGTGGGTGTACAACCGCAGCTGCTACCCCATCTTCATCAAGTCGGCCACACTGGACAACCCGGACTCGCGCACGCTGCTCGTGCACAAGGTGTTCCCTGGATTCTCCATCAAAGCTTTTGACTATGACAAGGCGTGCAGCTTGCAAAGGCCGAACGACCACGAATTCACACAGCAGCCTCGCACTGGCTTCACAGTGCAGATAAGCTTTGTAAAGGGCTGGGGACAGTGCTACACCAGACAGTTCATCAGCAGCTGCCCGTGTTGGTTGGAAGTAATCTTTAACACGCGATAGCAGCAGCAGGAGCCTTCCTCCTCTTCATGCTGACCTCTTCTACACCCACTCACAGAGAAAGACTTCATCCACTTTTCCTTTTTTGTTTTGTTGCTGAGGTTCAAATGCAGAAGAAAAAAAAGGAACTTAGAAAAGAGAAGAAAGTTTAAATTCTGATGGACTTGTTTGATAAACGACTGAGATTTAATTAAAAAGAAGCGGAAAAAAATGTATTTTATGTTATATATGAATATATTATTAATTGTAAATATGAAGACGTTTTATATGCATCATTATTTATGTATTGTGCAATGTGTTGGTGAGAAGAAAAGAAGATGCACTTTGCTTAATATAAATACAAAACAAAGAAATGCCAAAATAATAAAAAAAAATTTAAATAAATGTAACATGACTCGTCTATTTTTTTTGGGGAGGAGGGATATTTTTTATTTTTAACTGCTTGTAGATGAACTGTTTTAATAAACTGAATCGACCTTTTGATTTTTGTTTTGGAAAAAGTCAGCATTAGTCTGAAGTTTGTGCTCCTGGGAGACTTCGATGTCATCCTGCAGGTTTTAAAAGCTTTTTCCTCAAAGACAACATGAGTCAGACAGTGTCACGAGCCCGGTTCCCTCAGGCTCCTTTACTGCTCGGTAAAACTGTCTGTTTCCTGAGTTATTTGGGGATGAATGTCCTGTTTCCTCTCTGTCATTAACTGACTTATGACATCACAGCCAGGAAGCACTAATGACAAATTTCAGAAACCAATAAAGCCAACCGCGGGTCTAGCTTCTCGGAGAAGCACCTTTGTTTAAAAAAGGCCAACTTAAGAGAAAAGTATATTTCAAACAAAAAAAATTGCACCACACCTCAAGAGAAAATAAACCAAAGTGAGAATCTTTTCTCATGGTGCTGGATTTATTGGTTGGACATGATGGCCTATTTTGCGGCGGCTGGAGTCTCTGAAAAAAGGGGACAAAACAGATCTCCTTCTAACAAACATTCTGTGTTTGTGTGCCTGTCTGACTATCATCCTGTTGAGAGTCAGATGGGTGTCTGCGAAGAGGATTATTACTGTAAGCCTGCTTTACCCGCACAGTCTCCAAGCCCTAGATTCCCAAGACCCAGATTCCACCACCCATCGTGTGCTTTGTTGGAAATAGTTTGGAAAGCCATCTGCCAAAAAAGTTGTGGACCCACACTGAAAAATATACAGGAAACAGTTTAAACCAGTTGTATTGTTTGTGTATTTCTTTAAATATAAGTAATAATTGCAGATGACAACTTAAAAAAAAAAGAGTATGATATTGTTTGAAGACTTTTTCTCTTGTCTTATCCTTTTAAAATGATTTGTCACATTTAAATATAACACTTAACAAAAAATATCCCAATCAAATACACAAATACAATGAAACATTTTTTTTATATTTCACTTATGAGCATGAAAAGCTTGTTTCTGGTCAATCTTAGGCACCGTGGTCAAATTTAAGCCTCCATTTTTTTTTTTTTTTTTTTTTTGCAGCTGCACCTTGAATTATTGTCCTGATGTATAACCTAAATTTGCCCGAGCCTAACAGGACCTTCTCCCTCAGGATTTTTTGGCAAAAAGGAAATATTAGTTTTTAAAGTCCTGAAGCAGCACTGTCACCATTTTAAATCAAAAGTCTCTCTTGAATACAAGATTTTGGCTGTTTGTAAAGTGCTGTCTTAGTTTTATATCGATTTAACAAGATGCAATCCCTTAAAAAAAAAAACATTTATTTTCTTCAATTCATCGATTATTTCAAACATCCTGGAGATCATAGATATTTTCTGGAAAACAAGAAATGGACATGCAGTTTTTCAGCCTTTTCTTTCTTTTGCTCTTTAACTCTTCCCCAACTCTCCTTGTTTTATTGAACATGACTGCTGACCTTAACTAGGGTAAGTATCGCCTGCAGTGTTAACAAGTATTCAGGATTCTTTTGTGACCCAAATGAGTCATCAATTCACCTGCAGTAATTTTGGTTTGCTAGCAAAGGCCAAAATAATTCCCCACTGTGTTTTTTTTGTTCATTTGTGAATGATAATGTATGAGGTTTGATAAAGTCTGGAAGAATTAGGGTGGGCTTTTGCAGAGGTAGAGTGGGCGACCCACGTACAGAGGCCCTAGTTTGAATCCCATCATGGAGGCTTGTGCTGCATGTCTTCCCCCTCTCTCTTAACATCCTTTTGTCAGCCCACTGTAAAATAAAGGAATTTTGTGCCACATACACTTAAAAGAAAAAGTATTTTGCAACCCTTCTATAGAGGGATTCTAGTTGTTGGCTTTGATTTTCAACTTTCTTTTAATTTCCAGAGATACAGCTTGTTGTGCTGCTTATTCAACTGTTTTAGTTTACTTCATGAAGTCAGATAAGTTTTATGTCAGAAAAGGTCTTTGTTTTACAGAGGCAGCCTTCAGGCTAGTAAATGAAGAAACGTGGTTAATTGCATGTTGAGTTTTCACTGCCTGGTTGGTTTGGACAGATTATTTCCATTAATTCTGCATCTTTTTTCATTTAATTACATTTAATTTATTGGGTATGAGTTATTTATTTTTAAGATATGAAAAATTTTAGCGTAATAAAACAACAAAAAATAAGAAATCTGCTAGTGGCCCACATTGTTGCGTATTAAGATAGACCCCAAATTCTTAAACTAAAAATCAAAGCTGTTTGTGTAACCCCTTAACCTGTTAATATAAAGCCAAAGCAAAACACATAGAGGGACCCCCCCCCCCTAGAACAGGGTGACCCCGATTAAACAAATCTGATAATACTGGCATAATTCCCCCACATGTACTTAAACACATGTTTGATTACACTTACTCTGAGAAAATGTTTGAAAAGGGATGTTATATGACTTGGTAAATTACACATTAACTGTTTATATTTCAAAAAAGGAAAAAAACTTGCAGGACAATATATCATTCAGAAATAACATTTATCCATAACAATGAAGGGTATTACATTTAGTTTAGAAATTATTGCAATAAGAAATGACTGAATACTTCTGATATCTTATTTTTTTCAACAATGTACTTTTAAATCAAACATTTTGGTTTTATTTAGAAAATTTAAAAAATGTAAAATGGATTAAGGATTTGAAATAACGATATGTTACATATAATGCTTAATATCTATTAGTTAAAAGACTTAAAACTGAGTTTTTAGCTGAAGACAACATAGAAAACTTAATCAATCTGTAGCTATAGCAAACTAACAAACAGTTTTATTTTAACCGTTTGCATTTATTAAATAGAAGAAAAGCAATATTTTAACTATTGCATTTTCAGGACTATAGAGAGCACCTTACTCTAAGTCGCACCCACTGTTTTAAAAAAACATACAAAAACAAAATACTGGAAAGTATATATAAGCCGCATATGACTATAAGCCGCTGATAGCCCCCCAAACCTGAAGGGGGAGCACTACAGAAATCACCCCTAAAGTAAAGTTTCTTGTTGGCCTTGTCAGGTCTTTGTTTCAGCTCTGCAGGGGTTACGCACAGCCTCTTCATTGGTTCGACAGCTTTAATGCGGCAAATAAATGTCAAAATGTGGTAATTCGAGATATTAGTTCTTCGTCATGCCTTCTGCCCGCATGTGCTTGTGTTACAAAAAAATGTGCCCCTTTTTCTTTGATTCCCTGCTTTGACTTCCTACCCCTGGCTTCCACAGAAAATGCACCTTCGTATAAACCCCATGTTTTAAAGCAGGGGAGAAAATTAGTAGCTTATTTTCAATTCCATTCGGTTTATCAATATAGCACCAATTCACAACATCATGTCATCTCAAGGCACTTTACAGAGACAATTCAATCAGATCATACAGCCAAATTTAGTTTTTTATCTAAGGAAAACCAGCTGATTGCATCAACTCATTAACTCAAAAACCAATCCCTCACACCAAGCATGGTTGTAGCGACAGTGGAGAGGAAAAAATTTATTTTAACAGGAAGAAACCTCCAGCAGAACCAGGCTCAATATGAGCAGCCTTCTGCAGACAGAGCAGAGATAGAAAGGAGCAAAGATACGAAATGTACAGTAACTGTTAACCAGCACCACAGGTGGCCCTGTCCTGGAAACACAACCAGGCAGATGGGATTTGAGCCAACTTCCATGTCAGAGGATGAAAGAGAGCACATCCAGTTAGTCACAGTCAGAGAAACAGGACTACACTGGAAACAGGCCAAGCTCCAATATCTATAAGCAAAGGTGTTGATGGCAGCAGCACAGCTGTATTTCTCTCCAGGATGGTGTCACAGCCAAACAGGAACAGACCAGATGAAGCTAGCATGAATGGAAAAAGTTAGGAAACTATGGTAACAACATTCTGCATATTGCTGATTGCACTGGCATAACACCATTATTTCTAATTTTTAATGTTTCTCGTTCATGACGAAGCTATTCAAATGAAACTTAGTGAGTTTCGTTTGGCTCTTAAAATGTTTGTATTTGTCTTTGGCAGGCTTTAACAATGCATTAAATGTGTGTGTTTTAGCAACCTGCATGGCTGTAAAGGGTGTGGGGTTTTTACAGATTAAATGAGCGCATGTTCAGTCACATTTTGGCTGATTGTGGTTTGTGGTTGTTTATGGGGCGTGCAAATGGCGGGGAGGAAAACCGTTGGATTGTGGTTGTTTTTTTCCATCCAGAGATAATCTTGTTAGGGATGCCCTTAATGACAGAACTGGCTTGAATTAACAGGTATCAGTGAGCATATATTGTTATCCAGGATTACTTGACAGACTAGTCTGTTCACACAATTATTAATCATGTAGTCGCTGCTGCCACCGGGGCTGGACTGGGCCTAAAAAATGACAAGGGCATTTTGGGTCATGGTGGCCCACCATGATTAGTTATATTATATGAGAAGTTGATTTTACATTATTACATCACTTTCTACTCACCCATATGAGCTTTGTTTCATTTGGAGCTGTTCTGAAGGTATTCCGTTAGGTTATATCCAAGTAACGTCTTCATATGGGTGATCGACTTTAAGACACAAACTAAACTGTTCATAATTTATTCTGTATGGTACGCCAGCATTCATAAAATGTAGGCGAATCACTGTCCCCCAGACATCTGCAGTTATATTTTTTATATTTATATTTTTTTAAAACAAAGCGATGCGTGTATGACGTCATCCGCGCGCCTGACTGGAGTTGTAACAGGCAGCCGGGCCACAGGCGGCTATGCTCTACCCATTATTTTCATTCAGCTAGCTAATCTGAATCATTCAATTCCATTTGGAGAGCGAGATTATCTGTGGTAGTAGCACTAGACATCTTCCAGGCATGTGAGTAAAACTAGCAGCAGTTCAGCGGACAGGATGAATGAACGG